TCTCAAAACGGGACCCATCAAGCAACGATAGATAATAATTAGATCGGTTTCGGTCGAGGGTTAAGCGAGTCGTAGCGACGAGCGTTACTTGTTAGGTAAAACTTCGTTTAATTCTTTAAACTTCTTATTTTCTTTTTCTATATATTATCTATCAGGAGAGAAATCAGTTTTGTACGATAGCTTGTCAATTGTGAATATATCTATATTAATAAGAAATGATTATTCAAGGATGAGAAAAATAGATTAGATAAATACTAATACCATTCTACTACGGTACGCTTCTTCATCTTATGTTTTCATATTCAATTCAAATACAAAATGAGATTATTGATTAAAAAGAAAAAGAGAAATCTCACAATTCTATTCGATAGTTGCTTTAAATTACTTGAAAATTTATCGAACCGAAAGAAACTATTTTGTTATACTGATATTAATATTAATTTTGGTAATAATAATCTTCATTGAATCCAAATCAGTAATCATACACAGTTGAGTAGATACATTATTGTGTAATAAAAAACTTATTAGAATGATATTTTTCGAAGTTTATCTATTCTCAATATAAAAATATCGTATTCATCATTATTTTTTATATTGATATCGATAAATATGAAGTGCTAAGAATAGATGAATATATAAATAAGAAAAGGATCTAGAAAAATTCCTAAGTTTTCCTATCAGAATGTATAGAATTGTCAAACAACTAAGAATCAATCTTCACCTTATCAAATAACTATTGTTATTCTTCCTCAAATTTTTTAAGAGAACATCACTTAATCTATCGAATTGTGTAGTTTGCATTTTATTTATTTAATAATTTTGTTCAAATATTTGATAAATTTTGAGGATCAATAAAGTGAAACTTTTGCAAAACGTATCGCAGTCCGATTGAATTCGTTCTATCATGAAAATTATGTTAGATGCAAGAAATTCATCAAATTTAAATATCAAAAACATTAAATAAAATTTTTTTTTGCTTGCTTTTCGAAGTTATCAAATTTTTGAACAAGGTAATAAAACAATAACAATATTCGAGGAAATAGCTGAGATTTGATAGAGTATAGATCTTTGTCCACTACTGTATATTTTTCTTCCGCATCTTATTGAGTTCTCATTCTTCTATCAGTCGATGGTGTTAAACACGCTCAATAATCCGTGTCTTTATTTTTTCAGTGAGATACATAATTTAATATATAAAAATCCAACATTTCTTGACTATAATTCGTTTATTAATAGACCATCCGAAAAAAAAAGATTTTTAAATCGACATTTTTGTCGATATGAATAAAGTTGACAAAAAGAAAGAAAAAAAAGAACGAACAACAATTACATATAACAAACGCACAGAGATTATTTTTATTTGTATTTTCAATTTTTTTTCTTTTTTACAAAAATGCCTACTAATTGACAAAAAAAGAGACAGAAAAAAAAAGAATCTGAATTAGGCCAAATATGACGAATACAATAAGATCATTTCTTCTGACGTTTAGCTGGTGAACAATTTGATGCAACTGTAAATGCATCTGGTTTACGTTTTGATTACCACTAACCTAAATAATTAACAAAATAGAAATTTATTATATAAAAAAAAAAATATACAGGGTACCTTTGAAATCGGTGTTGATTGAGAGTTTTGTGATGAATTAAGTGCAGCTGTATTTTTCGGTGATGTACGACCTTTTTTCTTTTCAGCTCATTCACGTTCTTCAAGTTCTTGATTTTCACGTTCAACAAATGTAATTAATGTATTTAAACGTCTTTGTAATTCCTAGATAGAAATTCATTTTCATTTTTCATTTGCAAAAATATAATTCTACTTACAATTGATATACGTGATTTAAGAAACCAATCAAAACGAAATTGTGGTGATTGTCGTATAGAATAACGAAGTTCTTCATAAACATTTTCTTTATCAAAACCAAATTTATATAACATACAAAGAAGAAAATGATCTTCTTCTTCTGTATAATTTTTTCCTTTATTTGTATTATATTGAATACGTAATTGATGAAATGGTGCTTTATATCGTGTCATCTAAAAATTATTAAAAAAATTATTTTATTTATTCAATATTTAAAAAAAAATGTTACTTTAGCATCCAATGCTTTTTTAATACTAATTCTATGATGAATTTTTGTTTCACCACGTTCAATTTGTGCCATAATACGTTCAACATCAGTTAATTCATGACAACGATCCCAAAAAACTCTTGCATATGACATAACTGCATCCGGTGTTTTATCATATTTTTCATTTGCTTTTATAAATTGATTAAAATCTCGTTTTGTCCAATTACAAAAATCTTGTTGAAGTAATTGTTCTTTTTCATATTGTTCATCTTCATTTAATGCTTCAGATTCATCAATTTTTTTTGTTCATCTTGTTGTTGTCGTTTACCTTCTTGTTCATCTAAATCAGGATCACGTACAGCTTTATAACCAATTGATTTTCTATATGCATATATTTCACGATCAAGTAATTCAAAAAGATGTGGAGGAAAATATTGAAAATCTTGAACATTTGGTTGCCGTGGTCGACGTGGTGCTTTTGGTACACGTGGTTCACTCATACGTAATGATTCACGAAAATATGCATCAACTGCATAATTTGCTTTACATTCACGTTTTGGTGGTTCAATCCATTTAATTCCAAGTGTTGATGATTGTTTTTCTCGATAATCTTCACCTTCAAATTTATATATTGAACTATCTTCTGTGCTATCCGTATTATTAACACCAAGACCACCAATATTTTCATTATCAATAGTAAATTTACGTAATTGATTTTCACCTAAACGTTCATATTTTTCCCGTAATTCTTTAGTTTTTTGTTCGCCTTGAGCTAAGACAAGATCGATATCAACATCTAATTCATTTCCATCTTGTTTGGATTTAAAAACATGTGTAGCACCATGTCGAATCATAGATAACATTTCATCTTTATCAATTTTTGTTGCCGAATCTTGTAAACGACCTTGTTGAATAACAACATGATCAAGACGTAATTTCATTTCATCTCGTTCAACTATACGTTCTTCAACAGTATGTTCAGTTATTAAACGAAATACACGAACCTAAACATAAGCATGAATTTTTTTAAAAATTGATATTTTTTTTTTTAATTTACTGTTTTTGTTTGTCCAATTCGATGAGCTCGATCCGTTACTTATAAATCAACTTGTGGATTCCAATCACTATCATATAAAATAACAACATCAGCTGTTGCTCAATTAATACCTAAACCACCAGCACGTGTTGATAACATAAATAAAAATTTTGTATTATTTGGTTG